GGGAATTTTGGAAACACGATTAGGGTTCGTATGGCAAGAGGAATTGGAATTTTGGGGAGCTAATTCAGGGTCATGGAAAAAGTTTACAGAAGTTGAAGAGCATATGATTCACAGAAATTTTGCAATTTCAATAGAAATTTCACCATCTTCACGGAAATTGAAGATCAAAATTAGGGTTCATGTGTGTGACGGAAGATTGAACCGATTTAGGTAGAGACGACGTGGATTTTGTGTTTTTTATTTTTAGTCCATGTGTTATTAACAGAATGGGCGATATGAATTTTATTTTTCTTTTCTTTTTTTGAACATTCCACATGTGTATTCCGACAAGCCACGTCATTTTATTTGTGTCGGATATGAAAGACATGTTTCGACTTGCAAAGGGATGAGAGGTCATGTACTTAAGTGGTAATATGCAAATGTCGTGATTAAAATGCAAAAACATGAAAAGTGGTGCTTTTATATGCAATTTTGCCTTGATATTAATGGAAAAAGGGTTGGGTTTTTTATGTATTCAAATTTAGGGAGATGGTAGGCTACGTCCATGTTACATAAGTATTCCGTCGAGTTTTGTAACCGTTAAATCAATTATTTCAGACAGTTATAGGATGATCTAACGGTTTCAATTCCCCGTTAAATCAACTATCTCTGAAAGTTACATGATGATCTAACGATTACAATTCTTGAAGGAATGGAGTTTTATAACCGTTAAATCAACTAATTCTGACAGTTATAGGATGATCTAACAGTTGCAATTCCCCGTTAAATCAACTATCTCCGAAAATTACATAATGATCTAACGGTTACAATTCCTAAGTGAATGGTTCTGTAACGAAACCGTAGTATTTCTCTATTTTTTATTTAATTTGGATTTTTACTGGGAAGCTAGTGTTCCAAATTGGTAGGATATTTCAATCGTATAAATATAGAATATTTTACGTTAATCTCGTGTCACATTAATCGTATATTAGTGTAGAGCATAATATTAATTTGTAGTAATAATGGTACATGTGAGAATGTGACTTAACATTACAATATAATAGGTAAAAAAACCATTCTACCTTAGCTCATCTTATTTTGACACAAAATCCAATAATTCATTTCAACTT